CCTGAAACACACCAAAAGGCTCTGTGGCAATTGTCATTCGACACGAAAGGCTATTGCTCTTTACACAGTTGTCAACTTACACTTTAAGTCTCGACTCCGATGACACCTTCTCAGATTTCACAATCTAAAATTAAATTATTTCCATCTTTACAAAGTACCCAACTTCAGCCAGGTGCCAGTGGTTCATGCCTGTAATCCTAGCTCTCCAGAGGCAGAGATCAGGAGGATCGAAGTTCGATGTCAGTCCAGCAAATAGCTTACAAGACCCTATCTCAAAAATACCCAGCACAAAACAGGCTGGTGGAGTGACTCAAGTGGTAGAGTGCCTGCCTAGTAATCGTGAGGCCCTGAGTTCAAACCCTAGTACTGAAAAAAAAAAAAGAAAGTACCCAACTTCAATGTCAATTTCTGGAGACGGGAGTCTTATCCTGTGCTGCCGAATTTTTAACAACAGGTTCTCAAAACAGCAAAGGCCCTGACATACAGCATTCGTCAACTTCCATGATCTAAATAATACTACTCGGGCTAATTTGAACAATCTGCTACTAAATAGCTTGAGGAACTTCCTGATAATCGAACAATCAGCTTTTCACAAGCCACTACAGGCTAAGGTAGCACAGCACTGGACCCCATCTGTTATTAGCTGCTTCAGAGAAACAGAACTGAGACTGCTGTGGTTTGAGTTTGTCTCCCAAAGGTCGTTTATTGGAGCATGGTCCTCAGAGAAGTGATACTAAGAGGTAGAGACTAGCCAGGAGTCCTAGTTGAGGGTGTGCCCTTAAATGGGACGTGGGACCCCAGCCTCTCTGGCTTCCTGTACTTTCTGTCTGGTAATGTGATCTCTCCCTCTTGTATGTGTCCACTCACCAGAGGCTGAACTGGGGGTTCCTGACCTTGCACTTTGGGCCTCCAAAACGCTGAGCTAAGTAAACCTCTTTATATTTATTTTGCTTTAGTAATGAGAAATCTACTAATAAAAGGGCAATGCCAGGCATAGAGTTCAACAAATGTTAGTTGAATGTTCACTTGGAATAATTTAATTCTTAACTCTAGTTTATCAAATACAGATTACAGCTCTGAATCCTTTTTGGTGTTCTAATTGCTAAACTATATAAGAAGTTCTTCGGCTGGGGACATGGCTCAAGTGACAGAGCAGCTGCTCAGCAAATGGGTACTCAAGTGTCTCAAAAAAAAAAAAATCATGTGAAGACTGGGTGCAGTGGCTTAAACCAATAAACCTAGTGACTTGGGAGGCAGAGATCTGGAGAATTGAGGCTCAAAGCCAGTCTGAGCAAAAAGTTTGAGAGTCCCCAACCAATGGCTTAATGTGCTGATACATGCCTTTCATCCTGCTATGCAGGGCAGTACAAATAGAACGGTCATGGTCCACGTAAACCCAGGCATAACGAAAGATCTCATCTCAAAAATAACCAATATAAAAAGGGCTGGCAGAGTGGCTCAAGGGTAGAGCACCTGCCTAGCAAGTGCATGCCCAAGTTTACCTCTTACTATCACAAAAAAACCCCAAGAAGTTCTCTAAAATTGGTAGAAAATGACTCTAGGAACAATTTCACTAAAATAGGATCCAAAGTGAAAAGGGCCCCTGCCTTCTAAGAACGGGGCTCATCTGCCTCACTTCCTTCTGAATCCTGAGAGGCAAAATGAATTCAACTAGGAAGAAAGAACACAGGCCAGAATGCTGCACAGAAGCCATAGAAGAGCTGTCTGGCTGTGCTCTGGTGGAGTTTGGGCCTTGAGGGGGCAATAAGATTAAAGAGAAATTGGGGCAACAGGCCCACCACTGGTGGCAACAGAAGGGGTCCCACAAAGAGGATGTTCACAAGTTTTGCTGGCATTGTGAATGGTCTTCGCCACTGACATTCCTTTAAGAAGCTTTGTAAAGACTTAAATGCTTTCAGTGCTTTCTTTGGGCGCTACAGTCTCCTTTGAGGGATGGCGTGCTTAAGTCTGGCCACAAGGGGGCAGTCGTGCTCTCGCACCAGGCCCTCTCCACAGCCGCAGCACCCCAGCTAGGAGGCCTGCACTGCAAACCTGGGTGAAGCCCAAGACAGGCGTATGCTGGAAGGTCTGGCCATCCCGAGGAGGAACCAGCAGTCCACAGGTCACTAACCAGGGGATGCCTGCTGTCACGCCCAATATCTGTGTCCCTCCAAAATCCCCATGGTGACATCCTAACCCCAGATGTGATGCTATTATAGTTAGAAATGGGGCCTTCGAAGGTAATCAAGCCATGAAAATGGAGCCCTCCTGAGTGAGGTTTGTGTTCTTAGGGCCAAACATGGAGACACGAAGCGAAGGCAGCCATCTGCAAGACGGGAAGAGGGCCCGCACCAGAACCCTGCCATGTGGGAACCTTACCTTAAACTTCCAGCCTGCAGAACCGTGAGAAAGAAATTTCTGGTACTTATAAGACACTAAGCCTATGGTATTTTGTCACAGCAGCCTGAGCTAAGACATCTGGCTAGGGTTTAGGGGCTTTAGTTCTGGAAGTTTCCCAGAGTAAGGGAGGGAACAGAGAGCCCTGACCTCCATGTCCTGGTGCCTTCTGTTTGTTAGTGAGTCTTCAATATTCTGGAAGCAAAATTCTCCTTTAGTTGTTTTCTTAGACAACACACTCATGACTCCTGTGACTTCTATTGTCCTTCCTTCCTTCCTTCCGTCCGTCCTTCCTTCTCACTGTGTACCTCAGGCTGACCTCCGACTCACAGTCCTCTTGCCTCAGCCTCCCAAGTGCTGAGATTACATGTGTGCACCACCTTGCCCAGAAACCCTAAATTTTTGATCAGTACTTAATGTTTGAGAGCCACCTCCAAGGGAAGGCTGACTGATTAGCTCATGACAATGACACCAAAACCTATTGTATGTTCAGAGCAGCTCACCCCATGGCAAACATAGGCAAGTACCCTAGGAGTAAACACAAAACTTCCCAGATCCTAAAGCACCCAATCCAAACCTGTTAAGTAAAGCAAACTGTTGCTTTGTTATCATTTAGTGGACTTGTTTTTCTTCTCTTTCTCCTCCTCCTCCTCCCTCCCTCTGTCCCTTCCTTCTTGAGTCCCTTGAATCAGCAACTGTCTAACTAGCATTTACAGAGGCAGCCCTGACAGCCAAACACTCTAGGACATAAGTCACAGGTGCTCAGAAACATGAAATAAGCTATTTCTTCCTGAGGAACAACAACAACAAAAAAGCTAATTCCTCCTGAGGAATGATGCCTTACCTTTCTCAGTCAAGTAGTCCTGCCTTGCAAAGCCAATGTTAATGTCTTTATATGGTCATTAGTGCTGCGCTCTGAGAAGTAGCAATGCTGTCTTTCTTAACTTCTGTTATCAGGCAGTGTTTACTTGAGTACCATTTTGCTCTTAGACATTGCTGTGGTTATTTATCAACTGTTCACTACATATCAATTACTCACCTATTACTCTCATTTAATTCCCAGAATAGACCTATGCAACGGTGCTATCATTCAGTTCCATGCTATAAACGAGGGTGCATAGAAACAGGAGCGATACCTGTACAGAGTCAGGAGTCCACCACGGCCCCAGGGTGTGAAGAGCAGCCCCGCACACTGCCTCAGTTGGATTCTTGCCTGATCTACAAACCCACTGAAAGCAGCATCTCTTCCATAAATAACCCTGAGTCCCCAGGAAGAATGCTGCAGGTGGTGGCTGGGAGCCCAGACACTCCATTCCTTATGAAAGCTGGGGACATGAACCATGCCTCAGCTTAGCTGTCCAGAGATAGAGTCAGTATTTTATTCCTTTCTTTCACCAGTAGACTTTTTTTCTGAAAATGATGAAATAATAGGCATGAAGGAATTTTGAAAAGCTGTAGCACAAGACAAAAGCAGCCTCTGTTTTTAAGACAGGTGGGACAAATGCTCCCAAGAGAGGTAAAAACTTGGTGGTCACAGAATCCTGCTTAAGTTACAGGAAACCAACCCCACCTCTACTCCACTTACAGCAACTGCCTTCCTCTGAAAGCTTCATCTTCCACATCACGTTGATGTGGCTCAAGCATGGACCACTGGGCCAATGAGAGGCCCTTCCTAGGGATTCAGGGAGAACTAACCAGTGTCTTCAGTGCAGTGGCTGAAGCTAAGGATGGGGGACGGGGGAATGTGTGGGAGGCAAGCTCTTCAGCTGGTTTTCACAGCGACAAGAGTAAAACCTGTCTCCAGGCTCGGGCTGGGCTGAGTGGCCAAGGCCCCAGATACACAGGAGGAGGACATGGCCTGGGTTCCTACCAGCCTTCACCTCCCAGATCAGGGCCCATTCCTGCCTTTATTACCTCAGTCAGGTCAGGTGGATTTCTGTTTCTCGTGGCCAAAAGAAAATGGCCAGTGCAGAGAGACAAGACGTATAGCCTTCTGAGAACCAATGGTCCTGTGAGTCACCTTATCTGCCTGTTGGCACTCCTGAAACAGGCTTTATCCATCGTGCCAGGTTCCCCTGGATTTTATCAAAGCCTGTGCCAGGTTTGCAAATGCACTAAACATCCTCTGCCCAATACTTTCCCTCTGCTTTTTCTTTCCACCTTCTTGCCCCTCAGCTCCCCCTCTCTGCCCCTCAGCCCTACCTCCTGCCCTTGAGCTCCACTCCCTGCCCCTAGGCTGCACCTCTCTGTGTCTTGGCAATTTGGGGCTGTTTTTCAGTTGCTCATCTGGGTAACCAATCTGACACAAATCTAACACCATATCTAGCTCAGAGCCCGTGAGCATCCAACTGCTTAAGCTCCTTCTGTCTTGTGTCTCACTTCCTTTTGCATGCTCCCCAACAGTACCCAAACTCCAACGGTACCCAAACTCCAAATGCAGTACAAAGAATTGACCGGAAGCCTGGAAGCAGCATCATAACCTCGTTCTCTATCCACATTCACCTAACAGTGGGGAAACTCATGAAGGCAGCAGAATTCCTTGATCTGAAGGCACTGGGGTCCCTCTTCCCTCACCATCCCCAGGCTCCCTCTCCCTGCCATACCTGGGATATAAAAGGTGCCACCATGGCACCAATGCGGCACAAGGAGCCACTGGTTCCCATCCCCAGAGCGCGCATCGTGGTGGGGTAGACCTGCAGGGAGAGGCATGGAAAGCCCTGGTCAGTGATTCCCTCCTTCCTGAATTCTTCCCCTCACTTCCTGCCTAGGTCAGGCCAGGGTATATAGAATAGCAAATAGACTTCAGAATGCAGAAGATGCTCGTTTTCCCTGGAACCCAACTTCAAATTTTTATAACTATAAGTAGACATTATAACAATAAGTATCGGTCAAAAATAAAAACTGAGAAAGCATCCTTTAAGTGAGCAATTTCCAAAAAATACATGCTTAATCATATTCAAATATGATCTTTTTTTTCTGGTGGTACTGGGGTTGAACTCAGGGTTTCAACCACTTAATTCACACCTCCAGTCCATTTTGCTCTGGTTATTTTGGAGATGGAGTCTTATGAACTATTTTACCCAGGATGGCCTTGAACTACAATCCTCCCTATCTCAGCCTCCCAAGTAGCTAGGATTATAGGTATCAGCTACAAGCACCCAGCTCAGATATGATTTGTGTGGGAAGAAAAGGGAATAATTCTCTCTGTGACTTTCATGGTTTTTCACAGGTCAAATCTCTACATGAACAGACTTCCCCATTTCCTGGATGAAAATAAGTACATCTTGGGCTGGCAGAGTGGCTCAAGTGCTAGAAACCTGCCTTGCAAGCATGAGGTCCTGAGTTCAAAACCCAGTACCACCAAAAAAAAAAAGAGAGAGAGAGAAAGAAAGAAAATGAGCAAATCTTTACCAGTCCCTAGCACTGTTCACTCCAGCATACTGAATGAGAAAACTGGTTAAAATACTGTCAGGTTTTCTTCTCAAATTTTTTTTGGCCACACTGGGGTTTTGAACTCAGGGCCTCATACTTGTAAGGCAGGTACTTGACCACTTGAGCCACTCCAACAGCCCTAAAAATATTATTTAATTCTAGGAATCTCAGCTCTTTATGACAGCAGCTTATGAGAAAATTTCCCAGGTGCCTTGCATATAGGATATGTATTAAGTCAATAAATTAATGACTAGAGCAAAAATCACAATTATATAACATAACAGAGTGAAAGAAGGAAACGATTTTTCAAGTGAAAAAATACATTCAACTTTCAAAAAGTCCACATGCTTCTTGTCCTTCTGACTTCTGAAGGCATGGAGCCAGGTAGTGGCTGGGTTTTCACAGGTCAGCTTGCAATGGTTAATGTTGCTTGTCAGTCTCATTGAATTTAGAGACACCAAGCCATTAGAAAACCACACTTCTGGGTGTGTCTGGGACAGTGTTTAAAGACAAGATTAGATCATGAGGGCTTTGACTTAATCCATGAATTAATCCATGGATGGATTCAAAGACTGAATGGACTATTGGCAAGTGGTAGAACTGCCAGGTGGAAGGCAGAGCCTAGTGGGAGGAAGTGGGACAGTGGGGCAGGCTTTAGCAGGGTGTATCTTGATGCTGGCCCTGCCCCTTCCTGTTACTCCACTTCCTGGCTGCCATGAGGTGAATAGCTTTCCTCTGTCATGCTCTTCCTCCATGGTGTTTCTGCCTTGTCTTGGCCTGAAAGCCATGGAGTCAGGCAAGTGTGGACTGGAACCTCTGAAAACATGAGCGTCTTTAAATTGTTTCTCTCAAGCGTTTGTCACAGCAATGAAAAGTCTGACTGACAATGCTGTTTGTGAGAAAGGGAGAAGGTCCTGTCTTTCCTCTGGGGTTGACTTTCTATAGAATAAACAGAAGGGGAGAAATTCATGTCAAATAAACTTTCTAGTGTTATTTTAGTGGAAGGTTTTTAAGAAAAGTTATCAAAAGTTAACAGAAGTTGGAGTGCACTGTCCATGGATGGAGGTCCTCCCTAAATAGTTCATCTTCTGTACCCTGATGTAACCAACCCCCTTCCCAAAACTCACCTCAGCAGTGTAAATGTAGATGGTGTTGAAGTTTGCTGCCACCAGGGCCCTCAGCATGAAGAGGAACCCAATGAGGCCGGCCCTACAGAACAGGAAGCAGAGGGAAGTTACACAAGGCGACAGAGGGTCTTCCAGGGTCCAGCCCCATGGGCACTGTGGAGGCTAAGACACAGTCACACATAACCCAGAACCTCAGGGAGGTGCTGCTTCTCAATTGGCCTAACTATGGGGTCCTAAAGATAACTTCCACCCAGTCCATCTCCCCAAGTGGATCGTTCCAGCCTGGCCCCTGGATGAATACATGACCTGAAAAATGGTGCAGTTAGTAGAACACAGGATATACAGTCATTCCTCAGTATCCATGAGATTCCAGAACACACATGCATGTACACACACACACACACACACACACACACATCCTCTTGTATACTTTAAATCATTTCCAGATTCCTTGTAATGTCTAATGGAAGGTGCTATGTAAAAACTGTACTTTTGGTATTGTTTAAAGAACAAAGACAGAAGGGGAGAGTCTGTACATGCTTATACAAATGCAAATTTTTAAAATATTTCAATCTGTGGTTGGTTGAATCTGTGGATACAGAATCTAGGGATCTAGGGTTGCAAATCATGTGTGAAATGAATTCCACACCACAGACATGTTATTGATGTCACTAAACTTATTGGTTCAGCTAGTTTGGTAAACAATCGGGGTTGCTCTCCAGTTCTCCAGGAAGCTTTGCATAAATACCCTAAATATTTTGGTGGGTCAAGTGAGTACCCCAACACTGGACTCATATCCCAAGGTAGCTGAAGGGGGCAGAGGCACAGGAGGAGGGAAGTGGACATGGGAGGTACCAGGCCAGAGCCTTCAAGTCACAAAAGCAGCCCCTTCTCTACTCTCCCTGGTGAAAGGAACTCATCCCAGACCCCAGTGAGCACCGGGGATCAGGAGCTCCATTTGAAAATCACTGCACAAAACTTGTTTGTTTTGAAACAACCAAAGGGAAAAACCACCTTGAGGTACAGATGTTGAGGAGCAGGAAGAACAAAGCGGTGCAGCCCATGGTGACTGACAGGCTAAGCCGTCTCCCCAGGAAGTTGATGCCTAGGATGTTCAAGGGGTTCACTAGAAAGAAAACAGCAAAGGAAATCTGTGGACGCTTGGAACACAAGAAGCGTTCATCAACACTGACATGGGTTCATTCTTGCCGTTCAGGAAGAAGCAACTTCCTTTCAAAGCTGAGGCCCACAGTCACCAAATTCACGACTCTTTCAATGTTCTTTTTCCAGCATGGTCTAGGATCGACAAGCACTGGTGTACGTAAAGAATGTTTGACGCCCAGGGTGCTTGCTGTGTTACGTAGGTTTATTGTTATCTGCCAGCTTCCTGGATCGATAATTTAAATGTTTTATACTATTGTACCAGGTTTGTTTTTTGTGAGACAAGGTCTTGCCATGTAGCTCAGGCTGGCCTTGAACTCTTGATCCTCCTGCCTCCAAAGTGCTGGAATTACAGGCATGTACTACCACACTCAGTTTGGTACCATTGATTTTTAAGTGCCATCATTTTATGTCAGCAAATACAGAAATGGTTGAAACCCAACAAGAACATCATAAGAACATCTCAACTTTGGAGACGTTAAAATGCAAACAAAAGTGCATTTTAGAATTGAAATATAGTAGTTCAAAGCTTTGCTCCTCCAGACTTCTCTTCCCCACACCAATCCAAATCAGAGACAAGTCAGCATGGGTCAAAGAGTTGGGAACTGGTGCTAGGCAGGAGCCCTGTCACAGAGCAACCTTCTCTCCTGAATCGCAGCATCCCACCCGCAACAGAGAGAGGACCCCAACACATAGAAGAACAGTTACAAGCGATTTCCCCGATGGTGCTGAAGATCATCGTCTGATAGTCAGAGGGAGCAAACAGGTGGCAGTAGCAGGGGCTCTGACTTTCCTCTGAGTCCCCTCCGGTCACCACCACCTCCGACTCTGACTTTGAACCACAGACCAGGTCCCGCTCCAGCAGCTCGGCGCTGGCCAGGATAACCCCGTAGTAGGCAAAGGAAATCCCCAGCCTGGAAGTCAGAAAGAGCATCATTAGCACAAGCTTCCCTGGACCAGAAGGATGGAAGGACCGGGAGAGGCAGTGGGAAGAGGGAGGGTGCCCGGTGGAAGGCACAGGAGGGGAAAGGCAGCTCAGGTGTCATCCACAGCACCCATGGGAACGTCTTTTGGGAAACACATGTACACATTTCTATTGGGTGTAAACTTAGGAACAGAATTACCGGATCAGGAGATGCACACGTTCAACTGAACAGATCCCACCAAGCATCTTCCAAATGGCTGGACTAACTCGAACTGCAGGCAGTACATATGATCACTTCAGCTGTACTCAAATCCCCCGACATGTGGCTTAGTCAGTCTTTTTCATTTTAGCCATGCTTGTGTACTGGTGGACTTAGGATGGCATCTTGTTGGGTTTTAATTTACATTTCACTGATGACTTCAAAGTTAAGCTTTTTTGGGGGTGGGGGAACTAGAGGTTTGAAGTCAGGGTTTTGCCCTTGCAAAGCAGGTGCTCTACTACTTGAGCCACACCTCCAGTCCATTTTGTTCTGGTTATTTTGGCAATGTGGGTTTGGGAATTATTTTCTCAGGCTGGCCTTGAACTATGATCGTCAGCCTCTCAAGTAGCTAGCATTACAGGTGTGAGCCACCAGCACCCAGCTGAAAGTTGAGCATTTTTTCATGTTATCTGATTTACAATTTTAGTAACATGCATATTCAAGTTTCTTGCTTATTTCTAAACTTAGTTGTCTATCTTTCTCTTGCTGGAAAAAATTACATGTATGACATACACATATTTACACATACAGCATTTATTGTACAGATGATATGTATATGTCTAGCTCCAAAAGTTTGTTGGCTATATCTATCATCTATCTATCTATCAATCTATCTTGCAAATTTGTCCTCCCAGTTGGTAGCTTTTATGGCTAATTTAATGTAGTAAAAGTCATCAGTCTTTTCCCTTATACTTAGCACTTTAGGGTCCTTTTTAGGAATTCTTCGCTTACTGAAGGTCGAGGCTACCGAGAAAGAAAGCATAGAGAGGACCACGAGAGGCAGTCCCACTGAACTTGTCACTGGCAGCTTCAAAGGGACAGTTTCTGCTATGGGGTGAGGACAAAGACCAGGCTGCAAAAGAGCAGGAAGTGAGCACATGTGCTCATAAGAAAACTTCTCTTTGTTAAAATGTCATTATTTTTGGTGTTGGTAGCGGTTGTATGGTGTTAGTAGAAAGATAAGACATTGTTAGAGGAAATGTTTGGAGTCTGTCTGCCCTGTGTTTTTTCTCAGTGTACTGAGAGTGGATTTACAGTCATCCTCCCCCCACCCTCATCCAAGACCCCCAGGGGATGCCCAGACCACGGATATTCGTATACATACCGATGATAAAGTTTAATTTTAAATTAGGCACAGTAAGAGGTTAACAACAACTAATGATAACATAGAACAATTGTAACAAATACTGTAATGAAGGGAGTCAAGACAAATATTAATATTTTTGACCATGCTTGACCACAGGTTACCGAAATCTTAAGAAGCAAAACCACAGTGAAGAAGGGACTATGGAACTTAAGTGGGCTTCCTCCAAATGCCTGCTTATTTAAAACTAGTTTTGAGGTAACTGCATTCTTACCATATGACCCAGGTCTGTAATGTGGTCCGTAGATATTTAGCATCCAATAGGTCTGCAAATCTGCCTCTTTTATCCTTAGGTAATGAAAATGAGGAAAAAGAATGCATACAGTAGGTTAAGGCTGAAGAAGTAGTTTTCCAAAATTTTAGGTCAGAGAAAAGAAGATAATGGTGGGCATATGGTGGATCAAGATAACCATGTGATAATTTGGATGTGATGTGCCCCCCAAAAGGGCTCATGTTTGAAGGCTTGTTCCCAGCTGATGGGGCCTGTCACTGACAGGTGACTGGATCATGAGGACTCTTACCTAATCCATCAATGGATGGATCCCCTGGTGGGTTCAAAATCTGATGGCAACTTTCAGAGGCAGGGCCTAGTTGGAGGAAGTAGACCACTGGAGACATGCCCTTGGGGACTAGATCTTGTGCCAGTCCCCTCTCTGTTGCTCTCTGCTTCCTGGCTGCCAGGAAGTAACCAGTTCTACTCCACTGTGCTCTTCTGCCATTTTGCTCTGCCTCACCACAGGCCCAGAAACAATGGAGTCAGTGGACCAGGACTGTAACTTCTGGAACCATGAGCCAAAAGAAATCCTTCCACTTTTTAAGTTGTTTATGTCCTATATTTTGTCACAGTGGAAGAAACTAACATAACGCTCAGCTCTCCTGGCACAGCTCACCCAGGCCCTCTAGATAACAGTTCTTAACATGTTCGCCTCAGCCAGGCAGTCTTTGCCATTTCATTGCCATTGGCAAGTGGCAGAACTCACGGGACTGAGAACTAATGCTCTCCTTCTTCTCCTCTTCACCAGAGTTGGGCTGGGTGGGGAAGGAAGGATGAGACGCAGTACTACAATTTCCTTAAAATTCATGGGAGAACCCTGGGAATCATTTTATATCAGTAAACTTCAAAATCTAGATGAATTAAATAATTTTCTTTAAAATATCCATAAATATAACCAAAATTGACTCGATCCAAAGTTAAAATGAAAGTAGGCTATAACTTTAAGAAATAAAATCTTAGTTGTTTAAAAAAAAAAAAAAACTCCTCCTCCCAGAATATGAAAAACTGGAGCCTTTATGCACTGTCAGTCAGAATGGAGAATGGCACTTTCTATAGTGATTTCCCAAGAAATTAAACACAGAATTCCCACATAATCCAGACATTCTATGTGTGGGCATGTACCCAACAGAGTGGAGAGCAGGATCTTCAGGAGACAGTTTACACCCACGATCATAACAGTGTTTTTCACAACAGTCACAATGTGGAAGCCACCAAGTGCCCGTCAGCAGACAACACATCAGTAAACTGTGGTACATACGGTGTACACATCCAATGGAATACCATTCAGCCTTAAAAAGGAAAAACAATCTGACATATGCTACAACATGGGGGAGGCTGGAGGACCTTATGCTAAGTGAAATAAGCCAGTCACAAAAGGCCAGTACAGTTGGAATCCACTTATAGGAGGTAGCTGGTACAGGCAGTTTGTAGAGACAAGAAATAGAATGTGTGGCCAGAGGGTGGGGAGAGGGGGAGGGGCGGGGTCGAATTTCAGGTTTGTGAAATGAAAGGGCTGTGGCAAGGGAGAGTAGTTATGGGTGCCTAACAGCCTGAGTATTTAATGTCACTAAACTGCAACTTCAAAATGGCGAGATGGCCAGGTTTATGTTAGGGGTATTTATCACAATATAAAAAACTATTTTATTTTTTTAAAAATCCTCTAGTTCAACAAACCTCTAGCTATCCTCCAACAACCCCATCCCCCTCCTCAAAACAGATCTTAGACCAAGCTGTTTCATAAACAAGCTTTCAAGGACGTTAATTCGTGTTATATAAACTATTTCAGAGAGATGAAAATTCATATAATGAAGTTTATAACCTTGATATCAAAATAAGACAAAGCCAGTACAAAAAAAATTATAAAAGAATCTCTCATTATAAACAATGATGCCAATCACGTGATTCGGTCTCCAAGGGAATGTTGCTATTTGCCTTTTTTGGCGAGGGTGGGGGGTAGTGGGGTTTGAGCTCAGGGCTTTGCACTTGCTAGGCAGGCGCTCTACCACTTGAGCCTGAGCCCTGCCTCCACCCCAGTTATTTGCATTTTATGGGTGAGGAAAATGAAGTTGAGCCATGGGCAGGAGCGCAGAGTGAGCTGAAATGAGTCTCACCATTACTTCGCTCTTTCTGACCAACATCGCACCTCCAGGGGCAGAGAAGAACGCTACTAAGATCCCTTCCCTCTGGCCTTCCATGACTAAGGGACTTCCTGAGGCCAGTAGTGGTGGAAGATGGGGCCTGAACTCACCAGGATGGGCTCCACCAGCCTCCCCTCCGGCATGGCGGAGTGGTTCATCTTGGCGATGCGCTCCAGGGTGGTCAGCGCGGCCTCCGTGTTCCCAGTGGAGACGTTGAACCGAGCAGATTCAGGAATAAACTGGGTACAAATGACACTTTGTTCCCTACATTACACAGTCCTAGTCTCTCCGGGTGGGAGAACATATGACGCTTATAGGCCACACTGTAGCAAGCATTCTGTTAAGTTAGTTGACTTGGAAATGGGCCTCTAGAAAAGGGAATCTAGAAAAATGAGGCACTGCACTAAGAGCAAAAAGCAAAATTTAAATGTGATCTTAATTTAGATTTTTAAAAATACATCAATAATACGATTACAGTTTAAAGGGATCTAGGCTTGAAAACAGCTCATTTAGGACAGAGCCTACATTTGTATTGGATTTTAAGCCCAAGAGCACCAAGTATGGAATACAGTTTGTGAGAGAGCATGAAGTCTAGTCCCCATGGACAGAGGTGGAGGACCTGCTCACAGGAAGCAATGGGCCCACTTGACCTCTGCCCCCAGAGCTCCTGCGTGGGATGCTAAGTGCCAGTTCACTGCATCACAGACACTGACCACTGGGGATCCTCCAGAAGAAAGGGGGCCTGACTCCTGGAAGAGTTGTCATCTGAAAAACTTGAAGGTCACAATTTTGCTTAATTTAGAGAAGAGAAGGCTGAAAGGGGACCCATAAAAATGTTTTCAAAGATGCCTGGTCTTTCATCCTAACAAGGGCCTACTTAACAACTAGCGCTGCCTGGAGGTGGGATGCACCATAGACACCTGTCACAGGTCACATCTGGGAGTGTTCTGGCAGAGGCCTGCTAGAGAGAAGGCCTGAAGTGGGTTAAGGTTTGGAATAAATGACAGTAAGGACCAGTTTTGTGAATCAAGGAATCTAAAATTCTTTGATTCTACAGGGCAGGTGACACAAAGGAAACAGAGCCTAGGTCTGCATATCTGCTCACCCTGTCTTTGAACAAAGAGACACTATGGAAGATAACGATCCTGCAGCTGAAAAGCTTACAGGTTAGCAGGAGAGACGGAGGACAACTTCCAGGAAGAAACAATAGTGAGATGAAGGAAGCAACTTTCCAGTAAAAGAAAGAGGTGGACATAAAAACGATATTTGTGGGATGTAAAGGTCAGTGGACCTGCTGGAGGGAGCAGCAGGAGCTGGCTCACCTTGAAGGCCATGATGAGGATGATGCCAGGGATGGAGGCGATGCGGATGAGCCAACGCCACCCAATGGTGGGGATGACCACAGAGGCCAGGCCAATGATGAGCAAGGAGCCAGCAAGCCAGAAAACCTGGGGGGAGAGATGTGGGAGATTGCAGTTCTTCCCGTCCAATGAGCTCAACGTCTCCTCTCTCTGGAGCTGCCTCGCCCAGCATTTTGCATTGTGCAAGAGCAAGTGGGTATCTTTGGGGAGCAAAGTGGCAGGTCCTGCTCCCAGCACTGCCTCTGTGGACCAGGAGGAATTGGATGGGTTACTTTACTTCTCTGTGCTCAGTCTGTTTTCTGCCTTAGCTAGAGAGAATCAACAGTATTGCTAAAGTTTAAAAAGTCTGGCACATGAGGGAATCTTAAACATTGACTTTTTCTTCTTGAATAGATAACATGCACTGCATCGTAACACAAAGACACAAAGAAGACTGTGAAAATGCTCTCTTCCAGTTCTCTGCCATCAGTTGCTTTCTCTTCTCAGAAGGAACCAATATTACCAGTTTCTTCTGGATCCTTCCAAAGCTTTTCTAGGCATATATAAACTAATAAAGATATATTTTGTTCTTTTTTCATAAATGATACCATAGTATACATAATACTCTTTGCTTTTTGGTGTTTTTGGAGGACAGGACTGGGATTTGAACTCAGGGCCTCATGCTTGCTAGGTAGGTGCTCTGTGATGGGTATTTTCAAGATAGAGTCTTGCAAACTATTTTGTCTGGGCTGGACTCAAACCATGATCCTCCTGACTTCTGCCTCCTGAGAAGCCAGTATGACAGGTGTGAGCCACAGCACCTGACTTGAAGATCATTTTAATCAACAAATAATATGGAGCCCACTGTGAGTGGACCTCATTGGTCAGGAATTAGAACAACTCCCAGCATCAGCCTGAGCATCCCTTCCATCTGAAGAAGAGGAATAAACAGTAACTCCACTTCACCTCACAGAGATGTGAAGAAGGCTGTGTACTAGAAGCTTCATTGGGGCACCACTTAAGGGGTGACTGTTTCATCAAATAATCCTATAAGATTATTTCAGGAAGTGCTCAGTGTTATAAAGAAAGTATAATAATATGATGGAAAGTGACTTGGGTGACAAGGGATAACTTATCTGAAAAGACAGCAAATAAGACCATTGCAGTGGACAAAGTCACCGTCTGTGATGTTACACAATTACCTACATTGAGCTGCATGAAAACATTGCTGAGACTTCCTGGAAGTCTCAAAAATAAATAAATAAATAAGTAAAGTCAAAGTTACACGTGATTTCAGCATTGGATAGAATTTCAGTGGCAAAATGACAAAAGCTTTTTTATACTGAGGAATTTGGCATATATTTTTGAGGAAAAGGTAACAAGCTTTGTTTATGGACTTTTGGATTGGAGGGCCATTGATAGCGGATGAGTTAGCAGAATTTGGTGATTGACTGGTGGTGGAAGACAGGGAAGGGTCCTTGATGGCTGCTGAGTGGTGGCTCAGGTGACTGAGGGGATACTGTGTGCTATTACCTGAGTGGAGACATGAAATAAGAGATAGGGGGGAAAGATGGAGAAATTAGCTCTGAGAAGGTTGCATTTGAGGAACCTGTAAGAGATGTAAGTGACTCAGGTGACTGGCCACCTAAGTCTGAAGTTCAGAGAGGAGCTCTAGGCTATTGATAGAGATTTTAGGAGACAGGTAGAAGATAACATAGTTAGAGTCAACCACATCTACCTGGGCTCCATATCCAGGGATTTCGACATCTGGGGTTTTAGCCAACCATGTGTGGAAACAATTTTTTTTTAAATGTCTTCAGAATACATACAGACATTTTCTTGTCACTATTACCTAACGATTGCAGAACAAGTCTTGACATAGCATTTATTAGGTTGAAGCCATCTACAGATTATTTCAAGTATACAGGAGGATGTGTGCCTGAAATTCAAATTCTGCATCATTTTATGTGAAGGACTGGAGCATCCACAGAGCTTGGAATCCTCTGGGATCCTGGAACCAATCTCCCCCTGGTACCAAGGGGTGACTATATAGAGACAGCTAACACTGCTGGAGTCAGCTAGGTGACCCAAGGAGACCTGGAAACTGAGACTGCCAAGGAAGGGACATAATGAGGATGTGTGCCACAGTATCAGGCAGATGGAAGAGAAAACGTCCAAAGACAAGCTTGAGAAAAACGAGGTTTATTAAATGAGGTTAAGTGTAAACTTCAAACTACAAGTTAAAAGTGTGTGCATTCACCCTAACAAAAGTGTAAAGAAGAAACCTGGGAGGAATGTAGAGTCACAATGTGGTGTGTCTTTTTCTCTTCCTTTCTTTCTGCCTTTCTCTCTCTCTCTCTCCCCCCCTTCCCTCCCTCCCTCCCTTCCTCCTTCCTTCCTATCTTCCCTCCTTCCTTCCTATCTTCCTTACTCCCTTCCTTCTTCCCTCCCTCCCTTCCTTCCTCTCTTTCTTCTTTTGTTTTTGCCTCGATTCAGTGTTAAAAGAAATAAACCAGTATTCTCCTACTGCTTCACTTACTGGCAAATGCACAGCACTTCAGTGTGAAGGGTCATCTCTTTCCTGAACCCAGCAAAAGGTCAGGGTTTTAAGACAGCAAGGGCATCAAGAATAGGACAGGGAGGCCAGGTGCCAGTGGCTCACACCTGTCATCCTAACTACTCTGGAGGTAGAGATCAGGAGGATCATGGTTCAAGATCAGCCAAGCAAATAGTTTGTGAGACCCTATCTCAAAAACACCCAACACAATACAGAATGGTTCAGGTGGTAAAGCACCTGCCTAACAAGTGAGAGCTCTGAGTTCAAACCTTAGTACTACCAAAGAAAAAGAAACAGAACCAAAACAACAAAGAGTGGGACAGTGTATCTAGACTGATGTAGCCTCTGGATGCAAAACCCCCTCATCTGCAGCCAGCAGGGGTCTGAGGAGGACTGGGGGGGAGGGGACATCCAAGTCTCCTCCCCTGAGGAAGACTCAGCTATGAGGACACAGCTGTGGCACAGTCCCTCGGGCTGGCCAGTGATGGGCTTGCAGATGCCGGCATCCCTAAAGGAGGACACCCTGAAGGGTCACAGCTACTGCCCCTTCTGAAGACTGGTGAGGACAGAAGGGTCCCCGCAGGGGCCTTCCCAGTGAGTCCAGCCTCTAGAGTACCTCCTGGGTACTGAAAAGGGTGGTCCTCTGTTCAGATGCCACTGTTGGATGACAGAAGTCCTAGCCTCAGAAAACTTTGGAACTGGACCTCTGGCTTCAAGCACTGATGCCACATAACAGGCAGTATACCAACCAAGGACAAATCAAGTGACCAGAAAACATTTGCGCACCTCTCCTGTCGGATGCAGAAGAGTCAGTAGCATTAATTACAGCACTACCTTACCTGAGACAAGGGCAGCATGTAGCCTCGGTACTTTGTTGGCAAAAATTCAGTCTTTATGATTAATCTAAGTAGGAAGGAGAAAAACAGCAGTTTTGTTTGTGCAAAACCAAATGTCTTTGCTTTGAACAACTATAACTTTTCTGATCACAGGGATAATGAATCCAAAACACAAAAGTTCACAAGACAGCAATGTATAATTACTACAGTCAACATCCACAGAAGAGAATAACTTAGAACAGCTTCTCTGTTGCCATTTTACTCTGAAAGTGATTTCAAACTCTCTTCACTTAGGAGATAGTCGTTTTATCTCCTTTGCCACAAGAAGCGTTGGTAAACTGTTTTCCCAAGCCTGACTCTTCATTCTAAAACATTCAATTAAAATATACCCTGAGGAAGGCAAATAATGTTCTCAGCTAAGGACAGTCAACCCACAGCTTTCTAATTTAGTGCATACTGATCTGTAAATAGAAGGATAAATGGATTTATTTCCAATGGTTTTCTAACTGCTCGTGTCTGTCGCCAGGTTGGGGTTTTAACAAATTTATCTGGCTGTTTCCTGAGGGCTGTTTTAAATTCTATACAGCTTCTTGAAGCTCACAGGGCTGCTTAACTTAAGCCCCAGGGAAGAACAATTCTTTCCCCACCTCATTAAGGCAATAATTAGGGGCTTTGACATCTCCACTATATCTTAAGGATAACTTGCTCCAAGGCACTCAGGAAAGAACAGCCTGAGGGGCCCTGTTCATTTTAAGCAGGTTCCCAAACCGAACAGTTAACATGACAGCTTTCACACCTATGCACAAAAAGACCTGCACACTCACCCAAGGGCAGGAAGCCGAAGGCCAGTTCAATACATTTCACTTTTTGCAAATTCATTCTGGCATAGTCTTAAATCAAGGGCAACGGCATTTTAAAATGTCATTCCTGACCATTACATGTTACGGGTGCTTATGGGCAAATTAAACTTCCAACAAGTTCAAGAAATTAATAAATTGTGTTTTGATTGACTCTTTTTTTTTTAGTGCTAGGGATCAAACCCAGGGCCTTGTGCAAGCTTAACAAGCACTCTATCATAGAGCTACATCCCCAGCCCTGGTTTGACTTTTTCAGCACTTTTTAGATGTATTCAATCTAGCAAGGATTTCCTGGTCTGTTGAGTGCCAGTGGCTGATGCCTGCAATTCTAGCTACTTATGAGGCTGAGATTGGGAAGATCGTGGTTCTAGGACAGCCCAGGGTAAAAAAGGTTTTTAAGACCCCATCTCCATGGAAGAAAAGCTTTGCATAGTGGCAAATGCCTGTTGTCACAATGATGACGGAAAGCTAAAATAGGAGGATTATGGTCCAGGATAGCCTGGGCAAAAAGCAAGACCCTATCACCAAAAATAACTAGAGCAAAAAGGTCTGGAGGCATGGCTCATGTGGTAGAATGCCTGCCTCACAAGTGCAAAGTCATGAGTTCAAAACCCAGTACTTCCAAAAGAAAAATACTGGTCTTAAAAAAAAATAATGACAAGTGTTTGAAACAAAAAGCTAAGATGTGGTCAGTATAGCCCTTTACTAGCTTCATCACCGAGCATGATTTTGATGAACAAATTGCACCTAATGAAATAAAATATTTAGTAGAAGTGAGGCCATTGATGCTGTGGTCTCTTGAGCACAGGCGTGTGAGCCTGTGGGGACATATTTCTCTCCCAGGGATCTCTTGTGGGAGTCTTTACCCTTGTGCATGGCCAGACACGCCACAGCCCACCATGGTCCTCAGAAAGACAAACCAGATGTAGGAGGGGGAGAAAGAGGTCAGCAAGGAGAAGTAGGCTCCCCACAGGAACGAGATGAGCAAAATCTGCAGTGACAAAAGAGGACTTGTTAGTGGACCTGCAAGGAAGGAGTCTTCCTCCTGGACGTGAGCTTCCTCCCTGAGTTGCTTATCTGTAGCCGCTCAGTCTTCTGCCATCATCAAATGTGCAACCAGGCCATCCTCCTCTCACAGTCCACACCTTCCAAGTGTAGGCCATTTTTCGAAAGCTTCCTATCATGCCCACCCTTACAGGTCATGGAAACTTGGATTTGCACTTCAGAAACCAAACACAGTGAAGCACTGTGTTGGAATAACCATAATGGAAGTTTAAAGTATTTGCTTTCCCTCTAATTATGAGAAGGACTCAAGTTCAAAGTAGAGAAAAGGAAAAAAAAAGAGAATTTTAAAATTTAGCATGTGCAAGGTCCTGGATTCCATCCAGGGCACCACAAGAATGAATGAATGAATTCTGTTGCCAGGCATAGTTGTGCACACCTGTAATCCCAGCACTTGGGAGACAGAGATAGGATGATTGAGAGCTACACACTGAGTTCAAAGTCAGCCTGGGCTACCTAGTGAGATACTGTCTTGAAAAAACAAAAACACTAAAAATCATATGTTCTCCCTCATATGTGGACGTTAGATCAAGGGCAAACACAACAAGGGGATTGGACTTTGATCACAAGATAAAAGCGAGTGCCACAACAAGGAGATTATGAGGAAAGTAAGACACCTAAAAAAATTAGCTAGCATTGTCCCTCAAAACAGAGTAAACTAAAGCAGATAGGCTTAAAAAGCAACTGAGGCCAAGTAGGAGAAGGGGACAGAACTAGAGAAAAGGTTAGATCAAGACGAATTAGCCTAGATTCCCAAGATTGGCAGTGAGGGAGGAAGCAGAAAGCATGCCTCCAGTAAATGCGGTTGAGAAGACGCTGGAAGACCACAAGCCTTGCAGGGAAAAACCACTGAGAAGAGGCCAAAAACTGTTGACCCCTCCACACTTCCAGCCGGCGCAGAATATCTCCACTTCACATTAAATGGAGAAACCAGGAGGGCCCCTGGGCCGCCAGTCGCCCGCACTCAGACGGCTTGAGAAGATGCGGACCAGGTGAGCTAAGCCGTACACGGTACTCCCACAGACAACCCTGGGCCAGAACAGCATAGCCCCTGACAGACCGACCTCCACCCGGGGAAAAAAGAGAAACTGAGTAATAAGCAGTAAGAACAATAAAGACACGTTGCAAAGAGGGTGGGGCACAATGAGCGCTGAAGAGGGGGTGAGGGGAATCCTTCCCGGAACTGTAAATAAACAAGCGGGTGGCAGAGAGGACTCCGCGGAGCGGGGTTGCGCACCCAGCAACGGAGCCGGAACTTGTGAGAGTGGCAGAGCGAGGAAAACTCCACAGGAGACGGGAAGGAACCCACTCCACAGAGCTGTAAACAAACAGGGCTGCAGGAAGCAGCAGCACTGCCAAAACAGGAGCAGAAAGCTTGTAAAAGTGGCAGTGGGAGGAAAACTCCACAGGAGAGGGGGAAGACCCACTTCCCATGTAAGCTGTAAATAAACATGCAGGCCTGAGAAAGCAGGTGCAGTGTCACCTCCCCCAGTGTGCTTGGAAAGGGGAAAGCTTGTAGCAGTGGCTCATGCACAGGAGAACCTGAGTAAGCAAAGTCTGCGGGGCCAGGTGAGTGTTAAGCTCACCCCAGAGATCTGCATAAATAATGCCTCCAGCAACAGCAGGCTGACAGCAGCAGGCAGGCAAGCCACAGCCACAGATAACCATTCACAGACCTGTCTCCAGAGTTTTTTTTTTCTCTCTCCCTACCTTTGATGAGAAAACAACTGAACTACACCTGCATGCTGAAAAACTTACTGAAACTGTATTGCATTTGAACTTGGGACACTTTGTGGGGTTTGTTTGTTTGTGCACTTTTGTTCTACTGTATGTGTCCTCTTTGATGAGACAACTACAGAACAACATCTAGGCACCATCTCCAGGATTGGAGGCTGAGACAGACACCAAAATTATTAAGACTGAAACTTCATTGCATTTTGAATGTGGAGGTTTTTTTTTCTTCTATTTCTCATTTTGTTTTATTTTATTTTATTTATATTTTTTCTTCATTACTATTTTTATTTATTTTATCTTTATCTTTTATTTTTATTTTCAATCCTCTCTCTGTCTCTCTAATGCCTGTTCAGCTTACTGTGATTAGTACACTAACGCTCCCTGTTTATATCTTTGAAACTTTTTTTGATTCTTTGTTTGTTTTTTCTATTGTCTGTTATTTGTTTTTCCCTTTCTTTAACTTCTTTGCTTTCCATCTCTTCACCCTTCCATTCTAAATATCACCATTGTTATTATTACAAGCTAGAAAATACTTAATTGCACACAGTACAGGGACAGTAACAACACCAAGGGCAATGAGGAAGACAGAAAAAACAGGGAAACCAGTTTCCCCACAGCAAAAATTAGTACAGGAACCAGAGGGAAATGAAGAAAACAGATACTCAGATCCAGACTCCAACAAAATGAAGATAAACTATGCCAAAGAACCCAATGAAGCCCACAAGAATAATTTAAAAGAAGACATACTACAGGTACTCAATGAGAATTTATAGAGATGATACTGGATAGGGTCAACCAAAATGTACAGGAACACTCAAGAAATTCCAAGACAACAAAAATAGAGAATTTGAAAAAGCAAAAGAAGAAATAAAGGAAACCATAGAAGCACTGTATAAACACCAAAGTGAAACAGAGAAACATGATAATAAACAGATAAATGAACTCAGGACAAAAATAGACAACATTAAAGAGGAAACCACCCAGGATATGGAAAAACCTCAGAAAAAAAACGAAACAGAACTGCAAAACAAAATGAAGGCCAATCCAGCAGAATAGAACAAACAGAAGACAGAATCTCAGAACTCGAAGATGAAATGGTAATTAAAGGAAAAACCAAGAACTATTAATTAAACAACTCAAGACCTGTGAAAAGAAAATGCAAGAACTCACCACCATCAAAAGACCAAACTGAGAATCATGGGCATCAAAGAAGAGAAGAGGTGCAAGCAAGGGAATGTAATATATTCAACAAAATAATAACAGAAAATTTCCCAAATCTAGAGAAAGATATTCCCATACAGATGCAAGAGGCCTCCAGGACACCAAACAGACCAGATCAAAATAGAACTACCCACGACATATCATCATTAAACAACAACAAGTCAGAAACTAGGGAAAGAATATTGAAGGCTGTAAGAGAGAAAAAACAATAACATACAAAGGTAAACCCATCAAAAATCACAGCAGACTTCTCAACAGAAACATTAAAAGCAAGAAGCATGGGGTGAGATCTTCCGGGCACTGAATGAAAATAACTTCAACCCCAGGATACTCTACCCAGCAAAACTATCATTCAAAATAGATGGAGCAATAAAAGTCTTCCATGATAAGCAGAAACTAAAACAATATGTGACCACAAAGCCACCACTACAAAAGATTCTTGCAAGGGATTCTGCACACAGAAAGTGAAACCCAACTTAACCATGAAAAGACAGGCAGCACCAAACCACAGGAAAAGAAAAAGCAAGAAGTAGAGAGTAACCTCAACTTAGGTACACACAATCAAACCTTCAAACAACTAAGACAACTAAATGACAGGAATCACCACATACCTATCAGTACTAACACTTAATGTTAATGGACTTAATTCACCCATCAAAAGGCACGTTTGATGAAATGGATTAAAAAGGAAGATCCAACAATTTGTTGCTTACAGGAGACCATCTCACGACAGAAATAAGCATAGGCTAGGATGAAAGGCTGGAAGAAGATTTACCAAGCCAATGGCCCCCGAAAACAGGCAGGAGTAGCAATACTTATCTCTGACAAAGTAGACTTCAAACCTACATTGATCAAATAGATAAAGAAGGACATTCCATACTAATAAAAGGGGAAATAGACCAAAAGGAAATATAATAATCATCAACCTGTATGCACCCAATGTCAACGCACCCAATTTCATCAAACATACCCTGAAAGACCTAAAAGCATATATAACGCCAACACAGTGGTTGTGGGAGACTTTAACACCCATTATCATCAATAGATAGGTCATCCAAACAAAAATCAATAAAGAAATCCAAGATCTAAATATACAATAGATCAAATGGGACCTACTTGATGTCTACAACATTTCATCCAACTTCTACACAATATACATTCTTCTCAGCAGCCCATGGAACCTTCTCCAAAATAGATCATATCCTAGGGCACAAAGCAAGCCTCAGCAAATATAAGAAAATAGAAATATACCTGCATACTATCTGATCACAATGCAATAAAACTAGAACTCAACAACAAAAGTAAAGACAAAAAACATGCAAACAGCTGGAAACTAAATAACTCATTACTTAATGAACAATGGTCATTGATGAAATAAAAGAGGAAATTAAAAGTTCCTGGAAGTCAATGAAAATGAAAACACAACCTACCAGAACCTATGGACACAGCAAAGGCAGTCCTGAGAGGAAAGTTTATAGCCATGAGTGCATATATTAAAACGACTGAAAGATCCCAAATCAATGACCTAATGATACATCTCAACTCCTAGAAAAACAAGAACAAGCAAATCCCAAAACAAATAGAGGAGAGAAATAATAAAAATAAGAGCTGAAATCAATGAAATAGAAACCAAAAAAACCATACAAAGAATTAATGAAACAAAAAGTTGGTTCTTTGAAAAAATAAACAAGATCGATAGACCCCTGGCAAACCTGACTAAAATGAGGAGAGAAAAAACCCAAATTAGTAGAATCAGGAATGCAAAAGGGGAGATAACAACAAACACCATGGAAGTCCAGGAAATCATCAGAGACTACTTGAGAACCTATATTCAAATAAATTTGAAAAATCTTAAAGAAATGGACAGATTTCTAATACATATGATCATCCAAAACTGAACCAAGAGGAAATTAATCACCTGAATAGATCTATAACACAAAATGAAATTGAAGCAGCAATCAAGAGTCTCCCCAA